CTCACTGAGAAGCTCTGATTTCCTTGTCCATGGGCTCTTCTCCAGCTGTTCCCTCCAGACTGCCAGGGCAAGGACTCACCTCTAAGAGCTCTCTGCCAGCATGGGCAGCAAAGTAAACCAGTTGGAGGCTCTGCCCACCTCCTTCTCTCTTTTATCAGAGCAGGAGGAGGAGTTGCCCTGAGGGACAGAGCTGGAAACCCACCAGAGAAGGGAGCAGGATGGACACTGCACAGGACATTGGTCCCTGTCTACTCGGCTCTCTTTCTCCTTTTATCAGGGTAGACGGAGGAGTTGCCCTAATGGACAGAGCTGGAAACCTACCAGAGAAGGGAGCAGGATGGACACTGCACAGGGCATTTTTTCCCCTCTACTCTGCTCCTGAAAGACCCCACCTGCAGTGCTGCCTCCAGCTCTGGGGCCACAACATGAGAAGGACACAAACCTGTTGGACCTCCACAGGAGGTCACAAAGGTACTCTGAGAGCTGGATCACCTCTGCTCTGGAGACAGGCTGAGAGAGCTGGGGTGTTCAGCTGGAGAAGGCTCTGAGGAGAATTTAGATCCCATTCCAGTACCTGAAGAGTCTCCAGAATTGGAGAGGGGCTTTGTACAAGGACATGGAGTGATGGGAGAAGGGGGATTTAAACTGGCAGAGGGCAGGGTCAGGCTTTGAATCAGAAAGAAATTCTTCCCTGTGAGGTGGTGAAACACTGATACAGGTTGCTCAGCGAAGCTGTGTCTACCCCATCCCTGGAAGTGTTCAAGGCCAGGTTGGACATGGCTCTGAGCAACCTGGTCTAGTGGAAGGTGTCCCTGCTGTTTTGCAGGGGGGTTTGGAACTGGATGATCCTTGAGGTCCATTCCAACTCAAAGCATTCTGTGATTCTGTGATATGTGGGAAAAGCCCTCAAGCCTTTTGCATCCAGGATGTGAGGCTTATGTACGGGGACAGTCCACATGGAACAGAGAAACCGGTCCCCTGTTATACAGCTCAGCCAACGTTTCCTCCAGCGCCCCCAGCTTGAGGACCCGGATCTTGTCCTTATCGTTCTCAGCAATGGCTGCCCAAGCAATCACGGTGTTGTTGTTGGTCTTGCAGCAGGCACTGGCCCAGATGTGGCTGGGTACATTAACCCTCCCACCGGCAATGGAGGAGTTCCCAGGCACAGCACCCACAATGGCATAGGTGGTTTGACAGTCCTTGCTTTTCTTGGGCATCGTTTTCTGCTCATAGACATTCCATTTGCCGTTGTTGAGTGCAGTGTTCTGGGGCACTATGTTGGTGAGGGTGAAGGTCGCGTCCCTGCCGTCCTGGGTGTCGTGATGGGAAGCGGGGTTCAAATGGCCACGGTCCAAACCTTTAAGTTTAAGGTAGTCTTGGTAGACAGCCTGGCTCTCGCTGATATCATCTTGGCTGACTTCGTAAGTTTCTCTGAGGGTTGCCTCTGTTTCCATGTCTTTGGGCAAATTGTCCCGTATCAGCTTGACAGGTAAGGAAGAGGAAAGAAAACATGTTAGTATTGAGGATGGGAGTAATGGAGCAAGTCTCCCTGGAGCAGAAGTCTGTGAGTGTCAAGATCTAATTTCTTGTCATCTCATTGTATGGAAATGTATAAATCTAGAGAAATCCTCTAGCTGCCCCTCCTGGCTGAACACAAGAGCTTTTAAGACAAAAGAAGCTCAGAATGTGACAGCTCTCCTTTTGACTTGTTGTAGGGGTCAGGTTTAAGGAAGGATGCCAGGGGGGCATCCTGGGAAATGAAGTCCCAAAGTACTCCCACTCATGGGCAGTGACATACCCATGGTGATTGGTTGTTAAGGTCACATGGTGTGACATGTTAACCCAGCAATAAGGTGGTGTCTCATTTTAATAAAGAGGATTTGTCTTTGAACCCCCAACCAACTAACTGGGTCCGTATGGTTTATTTATTTATTATATTAATAAAGCCATAACTTGTGACCTTTGTGATCCAGCCTGCAGCCTGTACTGAGAATGTGGCTGGATACATGAGACAATTAGAATTTTCCACTCCTAGGTTTGGTAAGAAACCTTCCCTGACATATTGATTCCATTTCATCCTGGCTCCACACCCCACATCTGCCCAGAGCTCTCCCCACATCCTCCCACCCCCAGTCTGTCATTCTCTGATTCCATCTGTGGCTGCTACAGGTGTACCACACTCCTGGAACACCAGGGTTTGCCTCCTGTAACCCCATACCCAGGGAGACGTGTTGAGAAACCAGTCCTAGAGGTGAGGTTTCCCAGGGGGGGCTACAGGTCACTGCAAGGATGAAGGTTTTTTTGACCTCAATGCAAATGGGATCTGCCACTGCAGTCCTAATAATGTGTCTCAGAGCTGATCTGGGACAGCAAGTATCTTCTGCAGCTTCACTAAAAAGAAGTTAAAAATGATCAGCCTCTTCAACAGCTCATAATCCCCAAAGAGTCCTGAGGAACCCAAGTACTGAAAAAGGACCTCTGGAGAAAGTTACCAAATCAAAGAGTTTGCAGGAGGCCTGGCTCCATGGTCCAGGAGTAAAAGAGCCAGGTTGGATGGAATTCTGAGCAACCAGGTCTAGTGGGAGGTGGCCCTTCCCATGGCAAGGGGGTTGAATTGAGATGATCTTTGATGTTCTTTCCAACACAAAGCCCTCTATGAGTCTATGAGTCTATGAAAAGAGAGAAGCTTTATCCCCACTAAATGTGGAGGCTGCAGTGGTGCAATATCATATTAGTTGTTTGAGTTCCAATAGGTACAAAGTGCAAATGGATTTTTTTTTTTTTGGTAACTCCAACACCTTTCTGTTCATGTTTGGAACAACATATTTCTTCTCCCTCTGGAACAGGGCAGATGACTTTCTTCTGTCACTCATGAACACCTAAATTCCCTCCTGCTACTCTGTCCTTAGCAATGACCTAAACTTCCTCTCTTTCTGTTCCATAATTCCCTTGGTCTTTTTCACTGGAGGTCTGAAGGACATTTGGGAGAGCTCTATTGTTTGTGGAGATCTGAGTGTCTGGTGGATCCTTCTGAACCAAGCCTGAGGCAATAGTGCTCAGGGGCAACTGGCCATGGCTGGAGATCACCCCCTTCTGACTGGACTGACACTGATGCTCCTCACTTTTCACTGCCTGAAATATCACTCAATACATTCCCCAGGGTTCACCAAACCCTCTCATCACTCAGTGCCTGTGCCAAGGCTTTTTCCCTGGGCCATCTCACCCAATTCTGAGTTTCTCCTCACTTCTCTCAGGTCACTTACAAAGACAAATAGAGTCTTAACTGTGAGAAATTAAGCTCTGTCAGGGATGCAAAACATCTCAGGGTAAAGTGGAGATCAGAATCCAGCAGGATTCTTGATCCCCCAAATTTAGCTGCTGTTGGATGCCTTTTCCCCATCACTTGGTCTCCCACCACAGCAGGGTACAGAGAGGGGCATCGGTTTGACTTTGGAATGGAATGGGATTTGACTTATGTTGCTCTCAGGTCAATGCAGAAAACTGGACACCTTTGAGATAGGACTCCTGCTCCTGCTGCTGCTGTTTGAAATACATCAGAGGAATCATGTGGTGCAGGTGTTTGAAGTGAGATGAGATGAATCCCACCCAGTGGGTCCATTTGCATGTGTGTGTATGGGGGTGGGAGGAAATAGAGATGTTTGGTTAAATGCTGCAGTTCATCTTTCAGTTACTGGAGGGTGACATGCTGTAAAAGAGGACACTCACCTGGGGCTCAACCATCCATAATGGTGTAACTCTCTTGCTAGTGTCAAACTGGTAGATGTAAGCAGAGTACACAGGAATACGCCTGTCTTTGTCATACAAGGTGGCATAGAAAGGCTGGTCTTTGAAGGTCTGGCAGATCCAGGCTGGGTTCTCTGGCAGCAGACCATTTGTTGCAGGCATTTTCTGGTAGAAAAACTCATTACATGTATTTGCAAAGGACTCCACCACCTCGCCGTGTCCTAGCCAGAGGCAGCTCTCCCAGACCTGCAGCAGGAGCAGCCACAGCATCGTGGGAGGATTTCAGGTGAAGGGCTCTTGCTCCCCTGGAAGGCAAATGCAGAGGGACACTCAGCTTGGAGATAGCTGACCATGGCCTGCAGTCATTTTTGTACAGGTGGGACACAGCTGGCTGATAAGAGGACTATGAGAGACCAAGAAGAGGGTACTGTCTGGCCTCCTGGATATGCAAAACCGTCAGGGTAAAAAGGGTGAAATCTAAAATAGGGTTAAGGTACAGGATGCAGCAGAGGGAGAATTCATCTTTTGTCTGCCATTTGAAAGAAGGCAGACAGGAGAGGCAGCTGTAAGGATTCATGGGACAGAAAGCTGCCACAGCCCACCTGACACTGCAAAAGGGTCTGGGCTGAGGACTGTGGAAGACTTGACAAGGCACCTTGCACATTTGCTCTCTTCTGACCCTTTGCCCTGAGCTTTATCTCTTCATATCCAATCAGTTCAGGATATAGAGCTACACACACCCTTGCTCTCACCCAAGATATCTGCTCCTTTTTCTCTTTACCAGCCCTGGATCAGGAACATGGGGACCAGTGATGAGGAAACTCAAAATTTGAGCCACAAGCAGTGGCTTTGTACAGTGCTCTGCAGAGCAGGACCATCTCTGCCCCAAATCAAGCAGAGAAGTTCCTGAAAGGTCCTTTCGCACCAACCCCTCCATGAGCTTAAAATATACCTCACTTACTCAATATCAGATTGAGAGAAACCAACTTACCATAGGAAATATCGTCTCAGGACTCTGCTCCCAGCCCCAGAGTGGCAGAGGACTTTGAAATGTCTCTGCTGCAGTCAGAGACTGCCTCTTTATATATGATCTCCTGGAAGGAAGAGTTGTAACATCTCCCACACAGGGTTTCAGACTAAGTTTGCCCAGGAGTGTAGCCGTCACCTATGTTTGTCCCGAGGTTTTTTGCAAGGTCATGGGTGGAATTTTGGTACTCCATAAGCTCGGCACCACACCTCACCCCCCTCCCTCCATTCTTATTTAACACTATGGTGTGAATTTTCCAGGTGACTTGGTTTGATTTTCTCTCCCAAATCCATCCTTCTGTCCTTGCCCTCCTTAATACAAAAAATTAAAGAGCTGCACAATTCAGTGCATGCATAACCTCTCATTTCTCCATGGAAGGCAGATGGTGGAGCTCAGCAACTCCAGCCTATGCTTTGTCTGATCTCTTTATTCCAAAACTAAGGAAATACTTGAAATTATTGGAGTCAATGTTGAGAAAGGAACAAGAACTTACCTTGAAGCAGAGTCTCAGAACAGGCAGCTGAGCCGCTCCTTGCCTCTTCTCCCTGGAGAAACAGTTGGCTGATCCCTCAGGAGTCCCACTGCAATATATAACCAGTTGTAAATCTGATAAAAACAGAATTTCAAAAAAAGGAGAAGTTTTCTGTTGTTACTCAGGGGAGATTTGTTCCTCCTTTCACAGAAATTGGGTGACAGTTGCTATTTGCAATTTCTTCTGGGTTTCTCCAAAGGTAGCTGATTGAAGCCACAGGTCAGGAGCAGTTAACTGGGTCTGGTGACATCCCTGTCCATTTCCTCATTCCCCAGGGGCCACAGCCACTGCTGCTGCAGCACCCACACAGGTTTCTGTTCCTGGCAGAACATCTCTGGTGCCCTTTGACCAACCTGTCTCGGAGCACCCCCAGATGTTCACAGTCAGCTCTTCTGCAGCCTCTCAGGAGATAATTAATATGGCCAGCCTGCATATTTTCTCTTTCTGGATTGCCAAGGCTTTGTAAGAGCCTGTATTCCTGCCACCAGCCTGGGAAACAGAAGGTCGTGGGGACACATTAGAGCCCCTTCCAATTCTTTGAGGGTGTCCAAGAGAGTTGGAGAGAGACTTTGCACAAGGGCTGGGAGTTGATAGGACAAGGTGGAATGGCTTTAAACTGAAGGAGTGTAGATTTAGTTTGGATATGAGGAAGAAACTCTTGGCTGTGAAGGTGGTGAGACAGTGGCACAGGTTGCCCACAGAAGCTGTGGCTGCCCCATCCCTGGAAATGTTCAAAGGCAGGTTGGATGGGGCTCTGAGCAACCTGGTCTAGTGGAAGGTGTCCCTGCCCATGGCAGCAGATTGGATCCAGATAATCTTTAAGGGCCCTTCCAAGACTCAAAATGAGTCTTCTATGAGTCTATAATCCTTCATTCACTACTAAACTGGACTCATTTTCATCCACTTCCAAACGTCCAGGAATACTGGAAAAGAAGTTGGTTGTCACCACCAGAAATGACCAGAAGAAGTGTGATAGACCCAAGTGTGTTTGAAGGAAGTCGTTGAGTCCTGTGGTTTATTTTGTCCCTGATAACCTGGAACTGGCATCTTAAAGTGGTTTTGAGGCAGATAAGGGACAAGGCTGATAAGAAGCAGATCCAGCAGCGCTGGGGCAATCCTTTGTATCGTTTTTATCATATTTCCTCCTTTCTGATGAGGCCCAACTAGCCTGACAAAGCAGCAGTTGCAAGAAGCAAGGCCAAACTGTGCTCATGTCACTAGAAAGGGCCATAAACCACCAAAGACCCCCCGGAGCATCCCCTGACTCAGTTCCACAGTGTAGCACCACACTGTGTAAAACCCCACTCCAGGGGAGGCAGTGGGGCATTCTCATGAGAGCTGGAATGAATAGAACCCATCCAACTCTCTGTGTCTCTGGCCCCCACCCCCAAAGGATCAAGGCTACGGACACCAAAATTGGAGGTCTCGTTGCCAGATCCATGGGTGGTGATCTCCTTCCTCTCCACTATCTATTCTTGTCCTTTCCTTCTCTTTCCTTCTGTCTTCTCCTTAGATTTTTTCTTCTTGACATTTCTATACTTTTATAGAAAACAACCAAAATGTCTGCAAACATCCTTTCCACTGCAACCACGTTGTTTTAAAATAAACCTGCCTCCTACAGACACTGGTCATTCAGCATCATGTTGACCCCAATGATCTGTTAGAAAAACCAAGGTCACCCTGGCCAGAGGTTGCTGGTAAAAACAAGCCATGAACGTTTCATCACACCCCAGGAGTCTAGGAGCTCCTGGTTTTACATTTCACTGCTTTTTTATGCATTTTAATAACAGTTGTAGGAAGTCCCTCCTATCTCCCCCTATCTAAGGGACTTGAAGTCCCAGCAGCTCTGGTTTTGGCTAAGCAGAATTTGCCCTGTTAAGAGTTGGTTCTCAGCACTCCCTGTGCAGTCAAGACAAGAGGAATACACACGTCCAGGGCACAGCTGCCACCAGGCAGATGAAGGCAATTACACTACAGAAGTGCTCACTTCTCTCTGATGACCAGAAGGATTCCCAGAGGGACAAGCTCTGCTTGACACCTCTCAGATTACACGAGGTGAGTCCCACTCTGTGCTGACATCCCTACACTCGAGATGTCTGTATTCCATTACTTAGACAAAGAACACCATCAAAATACAAAAGCCATCCTTTGCCAAATTCCCTTCCTTATGGGCAGGCCTCTGATGCAAACATCCTCTCCCCATTCATTGTCATGAGCTTGACCTGTCAATCCAGCAGGAATTTCAGGGGAATGTCCTAACCTGCTGCAGTCACAGCACCTTCTCTGTGTGGGAGGATATTTTCCTGAGAGAACAACAGATAAATAATCAATGTAGCAAGAACAGACGGGAAGTGTGCACTGCATGCAATTCTGTCTTAATGATCTCACATCCAGGTGTTTGATGTGCTTGTAAAAGACAATAGGCGGTGAGGATCAGAGATTATTTCTCCTACTGCTTGGCAGGGTTGGCTGGGGTTAGAGCTGTGCTCCAAGTGTTACTCAATCCCCAGATAGCTGCTGGTACCAAAGATCACCTGGCATGAAGATGAGCTCAGGCTAAACTAGTCATGGGCTAGATTCAAATTCTGGTTCCTGAGCAGTGCAGTCAAAAGCTCCTTGTGCAGGTGACTCGCTCAGAGTCAGACCTCCTGCTAGACCAAGGGCCAGCACATGGATGCAACTGAGCAAGTCCAAAGTTTATGCGTCCTCTGGGCTGACTCTTCTCCTTGGGATCCAACCTTTCCCTGCAACTGTGTGTTCCTCACAGTGTTTTTTTCCACAGCAGGCATTGGAGTCAGGATTGCTTTAGTCAGGTCACCTGTGATGACAGTCCATGGCATTATAAAATCAAAGGTAATAGGGGTCATTGGGGATGTGTATTCAGTGTTGTTCTCCTGCCCTGACCTTGACTGCTGCCTCTAGGGATTTATTAACCATCTCCCCCAGTCTGTGGGGAGAACAGGAGAGGACAATTTTTCCCAGCCTTTCACCCCCTTCTCTTCCTTCAGGTCTGCTACAACAGTTTTTGAGAACAATGAATTCCCTCTGGATATTAAGGACAGCATATTCTTATTGCTAATTCTACTATGTCTCCTCTGTACAGTTGACATCATGTTTAGAGACAGGACAAAGATTTCTTGGCAAGTTGTCCAGAGACCTGCCCTAGGGATGAATAACCCTGAGTGGCAGGGAATGTGGGACAAAATGGACCAGCTTTTGAAGGAGTATTCTGCTCCTGTGGTTTTGAAGTTCACCCCTGCCCAGGTGCAGGGCCCTCATAAAGGAGCAGAATATTTGAAAGAAAACTACTGTGGCCATTCCAGAGAGATGCAAAATTATGCAAAGTGCTGGGCCCTGGCTACTGCCTACTGGACACTGCCCCTTGGGGTACAGCACCTTCAGAGGGAGGGGAAGGAAAACAGACCCACGGACACCACCAAGGCAGGTTGCAGAACTGGAAGCCCTCCAGCTGCCTTTAGATATCACTGAATGATAGAAATGGCCAACACTCAATCCCTGCACTGACTCGTGGAGGGATGGTAGCAAATGGTCTCTCAGGGTGGTTGAACTGATGGCAAAGGCCGATTGGCAGTGCAGAGGGAAACCCATCTGGGCTGGTGAACTGTGGGAAGACATCACTGCCCAGGAAGAGATGTTGACTGTGAAAGTATGTCATGGAGATGCACATGACCAAGGAGTCGGACTATGGAACAACATTGCAACACCTGAGGCTCTACCAGTCGAGCTGACCCTGCCCAATCAGAACCCTTATGTACTGGAGACAAAGTCCCTGTGGTGCTTATGAGAAATGCATTAGGAAGGACAGTTTGGATTAGTCCTGCCTCGGGCAGAGGCAAACCCACTCGTGGGATTGATTTTGCTCAAGGACCTGAGTGCATTTGGGGAAAGTGGGGGAAACACGATCCATACCTCAGGGGGATTTGATTTTGGGTGAGAACCATCTGTAAGGGTGGATTGCATATCTAATACTGGTTGCTGAATGAAACTGCCACTGTAACCAGGAAATACCATGGACAATGAGTATGGACTCATCCGGTTGCACCAGTCATGGAGTCTGCTTTGCCCGTGACGCTGATCGGTGAGTGATCTGTCCTGATACTTATCTCAGCTCATAATCCTTTGTTATATTTCTCTCCTCTTTCCCATTGGAGATGGGAGTGAGAAAGCAGCTTTAGAGGGTACCAGGCATCCAGCCAGGGTCAACCCACTACAGCAAATCAGTTTTTGTGTGCAGTCTGTTCTGTCCGACCTTTCTGGAAAGGGATCGGAGGGCTTTGGGGGTCTTGGGTGTTCCTGTTCTCCCCCTGCCATCCATGCTTACTTCTGGGCCTCATTCCTACACATGGGCTGTACTGTGTTGTGCTTATCTCCAGGAACTCCAACAAGGATATTTGTGCTGCCCTATGTCCACATGGCCCCTTCTCCAGCCACATCTTGTTCTTTCTCGTGGTGTGTCATTACCAGCAATCCTTGGCTGAGTCCACAGCCATTCAGCTATTGGGGTTTGAGACATACACATTAGCCCCTCTTCTGATGTTTTACAGCCCCCAAGGACATAGGTCCAGGGTGAGAGATGAGACACTGTAGGATGGTGAACAACAGCTGCTGAGCTGAGAAGTTGAGGCTCAAGCTGGTACCTCTGGAAGTGACACAGCTTGTAGGAGCTGTTTGCAGCCTGATCCACTTGGTTCATGCACATTCCCAGCAGGAGTAACTGCAGTCTGATGGGGACACTTTAGTACATGTGATGGCATCTTTAGTTTGGACTTGGACACCCCTCCTCCTGCAAGGATGCTCTGGGGATTGTGACATCACCAGTGGTGGAAATTTCAGCAAGAAGCAACTTGTGGTGTATATGTAAGATGACCCTGCAATCCAGCACTGGAGCAAATAATTTTTATTATGAACTACTCAGGAACTACATGAACTGGCACACACTGATCTTTCGATTGACACATTGAATACACTGAATACATTGATTATATTGGATACTCTGAATATATTTTATGAAATCCTTTAGCCATAAATCTGCAGAAAAGGTTCAGAAGCACAGCAGAGAATGAAGTTATCCAAGCGGTTTATCAGAGAAATTTATTTCTGACTGGTCAAAGCTTCCTGTAGATCTGATGCCTGAGCCTGCCTATCTCAGACCTCAGCTCCTGCTTCTGCAAGGTGCAGGTTTCAAAAGCAAGCAAACAAAATCTGGTTACCAGCATCACAGAATCACTGCATTGTTGAGGTTTGGAGGGACCTCTGAAGATCTCCTAGTCCAGAGCCCTGGTCAAACAGGCTCAGCTAGAGCAGGTTGTCCAGGATCATGTCCACTTGGGGCTTGAGCATCTTCAGCAATGGAGACTCCACAACACCTGTAGGCAACCTGGGCCACCCTCGTCCCACAGCTTTCCTAAGGAGGGGAGGGACAGCACATTCTGAGGGACAGCTAATGAGGAGAGGAAGGAACTGAGACCTGTTTCTGGGCATGGAGCAAAAGGGAAACAAGGCAAAGCCCTTCTGGTCTCACTGAGAAGCTCTGATTTCCTTGTCCATGGGCTCTTCTCCACCTGTTCCCTCCAGACTGCCAGGGCAAGGACTCATCCCTAAGAGCTCTCTGCCAGCACGGGCAGCAAAGCAAACCAGCTGGAGGCTCTGCCCACCTCCTTCTCTCTTTTATTAGAGCAGGAGGAGGAGTTGCTCTGAAGGACAGAGCTGGAAACCCACCAGAGAAGGGAGCAGGATGGACACTGCACAGGACATTGGTCCGCCTCTCCTCTGCTCTCATGAGACCCCACCTGCAGTGCTGCCTCCAGCTCTGGGCCCACAACATGAGAAGGACACCAACCTGTTGGGGTGGAGTCCAGAGGAGGCCACCAAGGTACTCTGAGAGCTGGATCACCTCTGCTCTGGAGACAGGGTGAGAGAGCTGGGGGTTCATCTGGAGAAGGCTCTTAGGAGAATTTAGATCCCATTCCAGTACCTAAAGGGTCTCCAGGACAGTTGGAGAGGGACAAAGGCACGGAGTGACAGGAGAAGGTGGAATGGCTTTAAACTGGCAGACTACTTATCAGGGAGAAATCCTTCCCTGTGAGGGTGGTGAGGCCCTGGCATAGGTTGCCCAGAGAAACTGTGTCTACCCCTTCCCTGGAAGCGTTCAAGGCCAGGTTGGACGTGGCTCTGAGCAACCTGGTCTAGTGGAAAGTGTCCCTGCTATTTTGCAGGGGGGTTTGAACTGGATGACCTTTGAGGTCCATTCCAACTCAAAGCATTTTGTGATTCTGTGATCTGTGGGAAAAGCCTCGGAGCCTTTAACGCCCGGGATGTGAGGCTTATGTACGGGGACAGTCATCGTGGAAGAGAGAAACATTTTGCATTCCATACAGCTGGGCCAACCTCTTCTCCAGGTGCCCCAGAGAGATTTTCCAGATCCTGTTGTGCTTGTTGTTGGCAATGGCTGCCCAAGCACTCACAGTGTTGTTCCTGGTCTTGCAGCAGGCACCAGACCAGATGTGGCTGGGTACATTAACCCTCCCACCGGCAATGGAGGAGTTCCCAGGCACAGCCCCCGCAATGACGAAGATTTTGTCATTTTGACACTTCTTGGTTTTCTGGCGCATCGTTTGCTGCTCGTACTTTTTCCAGGCTTTTCGGTTGAGTTTTTCGTCCATGGGCACTATGTTGGTGAGGGTGAAGGTCGCATTCCTGCTGGCCAGGGTGTTGTGGTGGCCATTGGGGTTCAAATGGCCACGGTCCCAACCGCTGTGCTCATAGTCTGTATTGACAGCCTGGCTTTGCATGATTTGCGCTCTGGGGATGTTGTATGCACGTTCAAGGGCCTGCACTGTGTACATGTCTTGAGGCAAATTGGCATTTATCAGCTTGACAGATAAGAAAGAGGAAAAGGTGTTAGTATTGGGGATGGGAGTAATGGAGCAGGTTTCCCTCAAGAAGAAGTCTCTGAGTGTCAAGAACACATTTTTTCCTCATCTCAGTCTATGTAAATACATGAATCTGAGAGAAATCCTGTAGCTGCCCCTCCTGGATGAACACAAGAGCTTTTAAGACAAAAGAAGCTCAGAATGTGACTTCTCTCCTCTTGACTTGTGACCTTCGTGATCCAGCCTGAAGCCTGAGTTGGGAATGTGGCTGGATACATGAGATACTGAGCATTTTCCACTCCAGCTTTGAAAGGAGAAAGGTCTTTGGTGAGAAACCTTCCCTGACACAGCTGGTTCCCTTTCAACCTGTCTCCAAACCCACTTCTACCCCACATCCTCCCACACCCAGTCTGTCATTCTCTGATTCCATCTGTGGCTGCTACAGGTGTACCACACTCCTGGAACACCAGGGTTTGCCTCCTGTAACCCCAGACACAGGGAGACGTGTTGAGAAACCAGTCCTAGAGGTGAAGTTTACCAGGAGGGGCTACAGGTCACTGCAAGGATGAAGCCTTTTTATTCATTAATCAAAAAGACCTCAATGCAAATGGAATCTGCTACTGCAGTCCTAATAATGTGTCTCTGAGCTGATCTGGGACAGCAAGCATCTTCTGCAGCCTCACTGCAAAGAAGTTAAAAATTATCAACTTCTTCAAGAGCTCATAATCCCCAAAGAGTCCTGAGGAACCCAAGTACTGAAAAAGGACCTCTGGAGAAAGTTACCAAATCAAAGAGTTTGCAGGAGGCCTGGCTCCGTGGTCCAGGAGTAAAAGGGCCAGGTTGGATGGGGCTCTGAGCAACCAGGTCTAGTAGGAGGTGGCCCTTCCCATGGCAGGGGGGTTGAACTGAGATGATCTTTGTTATTCTTTCCAACACAAACCCCTCAGTGATTCTATGATTCTACAGAATGAGAGAAGCTTTATCCCAGCTCTAAATGTGGAGACTGCAGTTGTGTAATATCATATTACTTGTTTGAGTTCCAATGAGTACAGAGTGGAAATGTGTTTTTTTTTTTCAGAATTTCAACACCTTTCTGTTCATCTTTGGAAAAACATATTTATTCTCCCTCTGGAACAGGACATGTGGCTTTCTTCTGTCACTCATGAACACCTAAATTCCATCCTGCTGCTCTGTCCTTAGCAATGACCTGAACTTCCTCTCTTTCTGTTCCATAATTCCCTTGGGCTTTTTCACTGGAGGTCTGAAGGACATTTGGGAGAGCTCTGTTGTTTGGGGAGATCTGAGTGTCTGGTGAATCCTTCTGAACCAAGCCTGAGGCAGCAGTGCTCAGGGGCAACTGGCCATGGCTGGAGATCACCCCCTTCTGACTGGACTGACACTGATGCTCCTCGCTTTTCACTGCCTGAAATATCACTCAATACATTCCCCAGGGTTCACCAAACCCTCTCACCACTCAGTGCCTGTGCCAAGGCTTTTTCCCTGGGCCATCTCACCCAATTCTGAGTTTCTCCTCACTTCTCTCAGGTCATTTACAAAAACAAATTCAGTCTTAACTGTGAGAAATTAAGCTCTGTCAGGGATGCAAAACAGCTCAGGGCAAAGTGGAGATCACAGCCCAGCAGGACTCTTGATCCCCCAAATTTAGCTGCTGTTGGATGCCTTTTCCCCATCACTTGATCTCCCACCACAGCAGGGCACAGAGAGGGAGGTCATTTGACTTTGGAATGGAATGGAATTTGCCTTGATGTCGCTCTCAGGTCAATGCAGAAAACTGGACACCTTTGGGATGGGACTCCTGCTCCTGCTGCTGTTTGAAATGCATCAGAGGAATCATGTGGTGCAGGTGTTTGAAGTGAGATGAGATGAATCCCACCCAGTGGGTCCATTTGCATGTGTGTGTATGGGGGTGGGAGGAAATAGAGATGTTTGGTTAAATGCTGCAGTTCATCCTTTAGTGACTGCAGAGTGAAATGCTGTAAGAGAGGACACTCACCTGGGGCTCAACTGTCCATGTGTGGATTGCGTGGAACCTTCCAGGCTCGTATTTGTAAGCAGAGTACATGGGAATACGCTTCTGTCTATCGTACAAGGTGGCAAAGAAACGCTGGCTGTTTAAGGTCTGGCAGATCCAGGCTGGGTTCTGTGGCATCATTGCTGCATCTGGCGGGGTGTTATCATAGAAGAACTGAGGACAACTTGCAAAGGAATTCACCACCTCGCCGTGTCCCAGCCAAAGGCAGCTCGCCCAGACCTGCAGCAGCAGCAGCCACAGCATCGTGGGAGGATTTCAGGTGAAGGGCTCTTGCTCCCCTGGAAGGCAAATGCAGAGGGACACTCAGCTTGGAGAGAGCTGACCATGGCCTGCAGTCATTTTTGTGCAGGTGGGACACAGCTGGCTGACAAGGGGACTATGAGAGACCAAGAAGAGGGTACTGTCTGGCCTCCTGGATATGGAAAAGTGCCAGGGCAAACAGGCTGAAATCTAAAAGAGGGTTAAGGTGACTACAGGAAGCAGCAGTGGGAGAATTCATCTTATCCCAGGAGGAATCCAAACCCACCTCATGTCCAATCCGCTCTCACAGCAAAGTTATGTGACTCTGAGGGTCTGAGGCACAGCAGTGGGACAAGGTCACCTTGTCCAAACTCCCGGAGTTGGACAAGTTCCTGTACAGTAAAGGGCACTGTTGCAGGAATTTCTATTTCTTCAACAGAAACAAGTCCTCTTTTGTCTGGCTCAGCATTGACATGATTTTCAGCACTCAGTGAGATCATTGCTCTTGGAGACAACACTGAAAAGTCCCTCTGATGGTGGCAGCCAAGTAGGGAGCTTTGTCTTCTTTCTGATGCACCAGAGGCTTAAGGATAGCAGTGATATTTCCATTTTCAGTGCTATAGACAATACTTAAAAGGCTATTTTAAAATCAACAGAGTGATTTTAAAATAATTAGCATTTTCAAGAAGGCAGGCAGGAGAGGCAGCTGGAAGGATTCATGGGACAGAAAGCTGCTACAGTCCACCTGACACTGCAAAAGGGTCTGGGCTGAGGACTGTGGAAGACTTGACAAGGCACCTTGCACATTTGCTCTCTTCTGACCCTTTGCCCTGACCTTTATCTCTTCATATCCAATCAGTTCAGGATATAGAGCTACACAAACCCTTGTCTCACCCAAGGCGTCTGGTCCTTTTTCTCTTTACCAGCCCTGGATCAGGAACGTGGGGACGAGTGAGAAGGAAACTCAAAATATGAGCCAGAAGCAGTGGCTTTTTACAGTGCTCTGCAGAGCAGGACCATCTCTGCCCCAAATCAAGCAGGGAAGTTCCTGAAGGTTCTTTTGAACCAACCCCTCCATGAGCTTAAAAATATACCTCACTTACTCAATATCAGATAAAGAGAAACCAACTTACCATAGGAAATATGGGCTCAGGACTCTGCTCACAGCCCCAGAGTGGCAGAGGACTTTGAAATGTCTCTGCTGCAGTCTGAGACTGGCTGTTCATATATGATCTCCTGGAAGGAAGAGTTATAACATCTCCCACACCTGGTTTCAGACTAAGTTTGCCCAGGAGTGTAGCCATCACCTATGTTTGTCCCGAGGTTTTTTGCAAGGTCATGGGTGGAATTTTGGTCCTCCATAAGCTCAGCACCACACCTCACCCCTCCTGATTCTTAGTCAACATTATGGTGTGAATTTTCCAGGTGACTTGGCTTGAATTTCTCTCCCAAATGGATCCTTCTGTGCCCTCCTTAATACAAAAAGTTAAAGAGCTGCACAATTCAGTGCATGCATAAACTCTCATGGAAGGCAGATGGTGGAGCTCAGCAACTCCAGCCTATGCTTTGTATGATCTCTTTATTCCAAAGCTAAGGAAATACTTGAAATACTGGAGTCAATGTTGAGAAAGGAGCAAGAGCTTACCTTGAAGCAGAGTCTCAGAACAGGCAGCTGAGCCGCTCCTTGCCTCTTCTCCCTGGAGAAACAGTTGGCTGATCCCTCAGGAGTCCCACTGCAATATATGCCCAGTTGTAAATCTGATAAACAGAGAATTCCACAGAAAAGAGAAGTTTTCTGTTGTTAATCAGGGGAGATTTGTTCATCCTTTCACAGAAATTGGGTGACAGTTGCTATTTGCAATTTCTTCTGGGTTTCTCCAAAGGTAGCTGATTGAAGCCACAGGTCAGGAGCAGTTAACTGGTTCTGGTGACATCCCTGTCCATTTCCTCATTCCCCAGGGGCCACAGCCACTGCTGCTGCAGCACCCACACAGGTTTCTGTTCCTGGCAGAACATCTCTGGTGCCCTTTGACCAACCTGTCTCGGAGCACCCCCAGATGTTCACAGTCAGCTCTTCTGCAGCCTCTCAGGAGATAATTAATATGGCCAGGCTGCATATTTTCCCTTTCTGGATTGCCAAGGCTTTGTAAGAGCCCGTATTCCTGCCACCAGCCTGGGAAAGAGAAGGTCTTGGGGACATGTTAGAGCCCCTTCCAATTCTTTAAGGGTGTGCAAGAGAGCAGGAGAGAGACTTTGCACAAGGGCCTGGAGTTGATAGGACAAGGTGGAATGGCTTTAAACTGAAGGAGTGTAGATTTAGTTTGGATATGAGGAAGAAACTTGTGCTGGTTTAAGTTAAACCAGCAGGGGAAAATGAACTCAATTCAAAAGAGAGATTATAAATCAGAATAACAATTGAATAAAATAATACAATAAGTACGATTATACAGACAACAATTGGTTTTAACCCACAAAACCCAAGTGTATAACCCAGCACCCTGGGCCATGAACAGAGTGGTGTTCTTTGGGTCCCCTGAGTCCAAAGTAAAGGGAGAGGGGGAAAACCTATTGGTGAGAGTGCTGTTGCAGTCTGTCAAAAGTGGTGGTTGCAGTCCAGTCGAGAGTGGTGGTCTGCAGTCTGGTTGAGAGCAGTGATCTGCAGTCTTCCCCTGGATCCCACGAGTGGTAAAAAAAGTTCCAAGACTCCAAGATTAGATATCCTCCAGTTCAGACAGGAATGCTCAGTACTTTCCTCAGGGCGGGGAGTTTCACAAAGGGTGTGAGGAACAGGGGGCCACCCTTCTGTACTGCAGGCCTCTTAACACCTACTTTGTAGCCTGAGGAGTCAGGCTGCTCTAGGCAGAGGGTGTAAATAGTCTACCGAAAACAGTTTCTGGGAAATGGCATGGAAGGCTATAGAATACACAGTTTTGGGTTACACCCATCCAGTGATTAACTGGTCTCAGCTGTCCTAACTAGGACAAAACTCTTGGCTGTGAGGGTGGTGAGACAGTGGCACAGGTTGCCCAGAGAAGCTGTGTTTGCCTCATCCCTGGAAATGTTCAAGGCCAGGTTAGATGGGACTTGGAGCAACCTGGTCCAGTGGAAGGTGTCCCTGCCCATGGCAGCAGATTGGATCCAGATAATCTTGAAGGGCCCTTCCAAGACTCAAAATGAGTCTTCTATGAGTCTATAATCCTTCATTCACTACTAAACAGGACTCATTTTCATCCACTTCCAAACGTCCAGGAATACTGGAAAAGAAGTTGGTTGTCACCACCAGAAATGACCAGAAGAAGTGTGATAGACCCAAGTGTGTTTGAAGGAAGTCGTTGAGTCCTGTGGTTTATTTTGTCCCTGATAACCTGGAACTGGCATCTTAAAGTGGTTTTGAGGTAGATAAGGGACAAGGCTGATAAGAAGCAGATTCGGTAGAGCTGGGGCAATCCTTTGTATCATTTTTATCATATTTCCTCCTTTCTGATGAGGCCCAACTGGCCTGACAAAGCAGCAGTTGCAAGAAGCAAGGCCAAACTGTGCTCATGTCACTAGAAAGGGCCATAAACCACCAAAGACCCCCCGAGCATCCCCTGACTCAGTTCCACAGTGTAGCACCACACTGTGTAAAACCCCACTCCAGGGAAGGCAGTGGGGCATTTCGACAGGAGTCAGCATGAATAGAACCCATCCAACTCTCTGTGTCTCTGGCCCCCACTCCCAAAGGATCAAGGCTACAGACACTGAAATTGGAGGTCTTGTTGCCCGATCCACGGGTGGTGATCTTCCTCTCCACTATCTATTCTTGTCCTTTCCTTCTCTTTCCTTCTGTCTTCTCCTTAGATTTTTTCTTCTTGACATTTCTATACTTTTATAGAAAACAACCAAAATGGCTACAAACATCCTTTCCACGGCAAACAAGTTGTTTTAAAATAAACCTGCCTCGTACAGACACTGGTCATTCAGAATCATGTCAACCTCAATCATCTATTAGAAGAACTAAGGTCACTGAATGAGCCCCACAAGGATGAGTTTCAAGACTCAGCAGGAGTGAAGAGGTTGGGGAATGAGTCAGACGGAGCCTCATGAGGTACAGCAGAGATTTACCTCAGCCTGAACCAGCACCAGGAGTGGGCTGTGTTGGCATTTGATCCCAGGAGAAAAAACCCATGGGGGCAGGGACCTGGGGCACAGGGGCTGTCCAGTAGAAGGGTGTCAGAGTGATGTTCCTACTTTGTCCTCCTAAACAGCAAAATATTCTCTTACCTCTCTAAGCTATCCAGCTGGCACAAGTGAGTGCTACTGCTGCTCTCACTGTGGCAATGGAGACAACAAGAGCACAAGTCCCTGGTGCTACCAGGCACTACCCAGAGTCTGTGCTGGAATCTGATTCCCTGTGCTCAGGTGTCCAAAGCCACTGGAGATGCCCTTGGGGAACCTCCATGGCCTCTGGCTGATGGCCCAGATGGGTTTGGTGTTCCCCAGGATTCTGCAGCAGATCAGCCCCACCGGGGCTCTCACACACCTCAGGGCACCTCAAGGGCCCAGGGTGCATCTGTTTATGGAGCTGAGCCAGGCCTGGATCCCTGGTGGCTGGGATCAGAGCTGGGACACCCAGAACACCTGGAGACCCCTGCATGTTGCTGCCTGACTTTGCACCTCAACCCCACCCAATGTTTCAGTGCAGCCCCCAAGGACATTGGTCCAGAGTGAGAGATGAGACACTGTAGGATGGTGAACAACAGCTGCTGAGTTGAGAAGTTGAGGCTCAAGCTGGTACCTCTGGAAGTGACACAGCTTGTAGGAGCTGTTTGCAGCCTGATCCACTTGGTTCATGCACATTCCTAGCAGATGTAACTGCAGTCTGATGGGGACACTTTAGTACCTGTTATGTCACTTTCAGGTTGGACTTGGACACCCCTCCTCCTGCAAGGATGCTCTGGGGACTGTGACATCACTAGGGGATTGAAATTTCTGCAAGAAGCAACTTGTGGCTTATATATAAG